CATATTCGTTTCTCAGTCTACTTTCAGCTTTTGCGCAGTCAATCAATGCTTCAGTGCACGAATGCCCAGCGAAGCGCTCAAATGCGCGGGTTGACTTTAAAGGCGCGCCCGCAAGTATGCAACAGATTTGTGGTTTTGAGTGACAGCCTTTAAACGTGTGCCCACACACACACACACACACAGAACCTACTCAATTGTCGGCTGTTTTTTGTGTGTGTTTTCGTGTCGTTGACATGCCAAGAGGACCTCAACAAAGTTGGCGTTACGTATACGCCCCCGTGAATGTTATGAAAACAAAAACGACAAACAGAAAATAAAAAAAAAATAAAAAAACAAAGGAAGCGCAAAGGAGCCGTCGGCTGGGGAATGTTTTCTTATATGCGGGGCACGCGTCAGTTAAAGCAAATCAACACATAACAATCTTGTACTCAAAATGCGTAAACAATGTGATAAGCAAAGAGAGAGCCACATCACAGTCGCTGGAGATGAGACGAAAAGAGACGAGACGAAACGAGACGAGTCGAGGCAGTGTGAGAATTCTTTTTTTTTTTTTTTTTTGTGTATTGATGTGGCTGTAAATCTCACTTGCAAGGGTTAAACTGCGCTAAAGTATGAAAGTCTGCCCGGCACTGAGAACAACAACAGCAACACCAGCAGCAACAGCAACAGCAACAGCAACTTTGTGTGTTGTTAAGTTGTTTGTCTGTTTGTATATGTGCTTTGCGTCTTGTCATGTTGCGGATTGCCGACTAATCTCTGTCTAAATATCACGTTCAGCATCATTAAGTATACACTCATTTTTGATTCAGGTATTTTCATTATTAAATAGAGGTACAGAAAGGAAGATATTGGAGATATTTTGTACAAAAACTATAATGTTGATAGGAAAAAAATGTTAAAAGAAATAAGATTCAATTGCATTGAAACTAACTATTAAATTAAAGCAAAAAATATATATAAATGTTACATTAAAAAGGGAGCCAACTTCCTTATATTATAACTTACATACATCCACTGTTAATCGCATAAGCCTTAATAGGGCTCTGCCAACTTATTTTTATTATTAGCCAAGAATGTTAAGCACCTCACGAGATTGCTGCTATATGGGAGGCCTAATCAGTAGGGCTTCCGTTTAGATTGTCAACAATTTAAATATGTTGATTTATACACACAATTGAATAGACACATCTGCTTATATTTGTATATATTCAAATTTTTAAATTTCAATATAATTTGAGTTACAAAACAATGAAAAAATTTGCATATATAATTTTAAGTAGAATAAGTCAAGCAAGTATGAAATATGAAATATATAAATATGTAGATAATAATAAAAATAAAATTAAATAAAATATTACATACCTATATGCATTAGAACTATTTTTTTTTTAATATAATTATAATTGAAATTATAAAAAATATATATACCTATGCTAATAAAAAATATTTATATCTAGAAAAAAAATAAAATTAATAAAAAAAATCGATTTCTTAAAAAGTCTAAAAAAAAATTTCATACATATATAATAAACATAAATTCCACTTTTAAATATGTCTATACAAAGGCGGCAAGCTCAATTAGCCCAGAGCTATGAAATTAATTGTCTAACATTTCAACATACAAGTCTATTAAATACCACTGTTAATATGCTGTTAACGCAAGAGATCATTTACAGCTCTTCAGCGTAGAGTGAAGTGTCACAATTTTAACATATTACAAATATGTTAAGCAACACTGTGCGAAAAAAAAGCATTGCGTAACTTTCTAATGCACTAATGCGGCAAAGCCTTTCAACTTCACCCCAATCTCCATCAAAATTCAGCCTCGAAATATAAAAAGCTGATAAAAAAGCAGCAACATTGAAAGTAGGCGAAAAGTTTGTGAACCCATTGTGTTAACAAAGGAGCAAGAGCATTCAAGCTTCGGTTATTCTGTTTGCTAATCGTTGCGCTCAAGTATGCTCCACTAGATAATAATAATGGGGCACAGCAAGTGCCACGAATGGCTGCGCTCCACACCGTGACTGTTAATAAGGCTTGAATATCCAGCTACTGTCGCGTCAATAAAAATTTGCCACAGACTGTCCTGCGTGTATGTGTGTGTCTGTCCCAACTGGCTTATTATATCACTGTCTCGCTTGCACTTATACTCTGTATATCGCTCTCCTTCTCTTTCGTTTTGGGCTTTCTGTTGTTGCCTTTTGCCAACTCATTTGATTTGGCTTCGCTTATATTGATATGTGCCAGCCGGTTCGCCTCAGTCCCTGCCTCTGGCTGCTCCTCTCACTCCATCCTTCTCCCTCTTCATCTTCGTCACTCCCTGCCGTTGCGTGTATTTTTATGGCATACTTTTCGACGCGTTCGTGTGTAAATATGTGCAAATTCGCCAAATTCGTTACATATTTTGCTGTGGCACATCATTCCGGGCAGCTTTGGGTGTGATTGTTTAGTGGATTTATGGGCACATGAAATTAGGATTTAATGTGCATATGTCTTGTGCGTTGAGTGGATTTATTGCACATCCTCATGCACACAGTCGCCCCTTCTCCGCCCACTGCTCGCCCCTCTTGCTGTCCCTCTGTGCTTAGCATAATGCTTATGATATATGCGAGTAAAGCAAATCGTTTTTAAGCTAACCCAAGGGTGTGCCTATTTGTTGTGGTTCTTTGTGTTCATCCTATGAGTAAACTCCGATTATGTGTGTAGATGTGTGTGTGTATGTGTGTGAGTGTGTTTTTGTGAAGTGGCTTAACTGCTAAGTCTTTCGAAGTAAATAGCAAAGCATTTGGGTTATT